TGGCAGTACCGAGCATCTAATTCGAAACATTTTTCAGCTATATCCTCAGTGTGGTAATACTACACAGGAGCATCAATCATCGCCAGCAAAAATTGGGAAACGTGGTCTTCCAACAAAGCTGATTTTACGAATTCGAGCGCTTTTTGCGCGAACAGAAGCAAAGAACAGGACTACGTAAAAGCTCACATTTCATTCCGCAAAATAAAATGTATTTTTTTCCAACGGAGCACGAAAGTGAGGGTCACCTGAACAACGCATATAATCGCATGGCACACACGGACACGATGAAGGTCAAAATCGATGACCCCCCCTCCCCCACAATTTCATTTGAAGCACTCTGTCTGTCCTCTCTTTCGTAATACTATTTCCGACCACTTTCATCGGTTATATCCTAACTGCTAATCCCACGTCAATTGAAAACAGTTTACATTATACAGGACTCGCACGGACAGAAGCGTTTCTGTTACTTTTTCTTCCAAGCTCCCTTTTTAAGAGCGACATTTTTACCAAGCCTTTGCAGTTTCCTGCACGCAGAACAGGCATAGTTCTTCCGTTTGCTCACAACAAAGGAGATTATTCTTCAACTAGAATCGAACAGAATCAAGGACAATAGAGATCCACGAATGGCATTTGATGCTCAAATGATCTATTATAAAGGGCCTAATGATATTAAAGTGAACAGTGAAACATGGAGCAGTCAGCCCCCGGCAGCCATCGGGGTAATGGGTGCAAGAACGGAGTGGTAGTCAAGCTCGAAATAGGGGGTCAACGTTGCACGATTTTGTAACTGTGTCTGATCGTTCCCAAGAGGTTTTACTGTACGTTAAGATTAAAGATAATATAAACAAATTTTCTTTCTGGTGCTTAAAGGAACAAAACATAGGTCTCTTTCCGCTCCTCTTCCGTTATTTCAATCTAGAAAACGCATAAGATGAGACCATTAATCAACCCGCTCGCACAAAGCTTCGTATAGTAGGCAGAATGAAGGCCACAATCAGCGCGACAGCCATTAGTAAGACTGAAGTGTAACGTGTGGATGTATGTGCTCGTATATTATAAGCTTTAATTAGATTAGCTTTAAACAAACGGTCCACGTATGTAAGGAAGGCCCTGCTGGAAGCTCTGTCGAAAGGAGAGAGGAAGATAGGAATGGAAACAGAAAAGCAGAGATATCATCAACAGGTTTGATCGAGCTGGAACGAGAAACTACACTCAATGAAAATTATATACAAACCGTTCGTAACCTCATACCCAGTTGATTAGCCATACGTTTGTGTCACCTTTTGGTGTTAATCGATGGGCATATTTCTGGTTTATTGTCCCAATTTCTGTTCTTAATTATTTCTATTGGGTATCAGCTTAGCGAGTCAATGGCGTATACTAAGAATCAATCTTGGAGGAAAATTGGAATTACAATTATATTGGCAGATCATAAGAATATAAATAATTCAGATGGTGTTATCCATTTTGGGCACTACTTACATAATCAAACTGTAAATCGTATCGTTCTTTGCTATATATATTTCAGAGGTATGCGTTACGCACGAAAATGAGTATAATTCGTTTGTAAGCGATACCTTTCTTGTTCACTTCGGGAAAACAACAAGCTGCATAAACTAGACGGGTTATTTCAAAAAACATTAGGTTATCAAATAGATCTGCAGCTCCTATTACGCAGTGTTTTTATGAGTTTCTCTAAGAAGATAACGTCCCCAGCGCCTGCCAAAATAGAAGCCAACGAAAGGCTGATATCTGACATTATTTCGAAGCCCGTTCTATCTCCGCCCTCTCGTAGAGAAGATATGGTAACAGCAGCCCTGCGCGATGGCAGGGCAAGAGACTGGTGAAAGCCACGAGAAAGGTTGTGGCGTGTCCAGACAAAATGTTATTTTCGTATATTGTACAAGACAGACGCTTCAAAGTATTTTCTAGCATTTATGCTTGGCTGAGCTACCTTATGTATACGCTTGTCTACGCTCAAAGGTACCTAGTACACCACCTAACCTGGTTACTGTCACAACCGTAGTCACTGTAGCCACATTTACTCGGATGTTCAGCATAAAACATAGACCTCCATCACTAACATCAGTCGTCTATTATTCGGCTTTATAATGAGAAGACTTGGAGGTGGCGCTACTGAATCGGCAGATTGGCACCAGCTTCTCTGACCGCACTCCTGGCCCGGATAGTTCACCTGGTCAGAAGCAAATTCACCTGGTCTCTCACCAGACCCAATCGAATAAAAGCATACGAACTGCCATCTGAAGTTTTCTACTCTGATCATCTTGTGCTGTGAGGTGTTAGCGTGAAGAAGATCGCTTCCGCTCTATTTGTCTTTAGACGCAGCCCTCCGTTTTGTGCGCATACGCTGTAGCTAACAGCTGTTGCCGCTAATCTATATTGACACAGGGCTAGTCTGTCTGTCACTGGTTCCTAATTTCTCAAAAAAAAACACTTCAGCTTCAATCTACTTGACCAGCTTTAACCTGACATTAAGGCTCGTTTTAATGGCGGTAAGCGACCGTTCACTCAAATCGTTTATAGCTATCTTACAAAGCCACAATTGCCTAACCAACGTTAACCAATTCACTTGGCTCCACCACAAAAAAAAACAATAACGTGCTAAATAAAGGTGCATTGATAATCATACCAACTTTTCGACGTTGCTATCTACTGGCTAGTCGGTGAGCCATTTTGTAGATATGAAAAATCGAACTTAGGCTGATACCATCGACCTGGCTGCGTCGTCTGAATATCGATGGTTTGACATTCATTTCCTCTGTTTACCCTAAAAGGACGATTTTGCTACTGCTATTACTCGAAAGCAGACAGTAACACAATCAGCTGCGTACATAGCACATAGAAAAGTTTAGGTACGGATAGGGCATGAAGCCAAGCTGGCTCCAAAATCTTACAATGCTATGGTGTCGCACCCGTCGGAGACAATGCCAAACGGCTCAAGTACCAGGCATGAAATTCACGGCAATTAATCACGCTACGATGACCGTGTTAAGATGGCACGCGATAAGCGAGAGATAACATCAACCCAAATCGGAGAATGGAACAGATCAAGCAAACAACATTTATCGGCGCTATTGCCGCCAGCGCAACGCATGATATATGGTTGTGTAGACCAGCCAGCACCCTCATATCAGGCCCCATATAGCTAGGAGCCGACAACTGGTAATGATGAATAAGCTTGCTGAGAAAACATAATGATCAAATCAACTGAGCGCAGAAGATTGATTTTATCTACTCATGAGAAAACGTAGAAAAGAGAACGTAATATACGATCACGAAAGGCTGGCTACATGCTGTGTTGTGTGCTTACATGAAAGAAGAATGAGACAACAAATACCGAAGGCGCAAGATCTATTATAAAATATGTGCTATCCATGGCCAAGAGGCAATTTCTGATATGAAAGCGTCTATCAGAGCGTAAAATAGAAAAATCCACAGGTTCAATTTTCAACTTCGTCTTTTTTATGTGTCTTTGCAATCGTGGAGCTTGCGTCTGGTAATTGGCGAGATACGCCAATATTTGGCGGCAATATAATTGTCGAATTGCAGATCCCTGTAACAGCAACAGGACTAGCTTTCATTGCAGCTAACAAGAGCCATTAAGCCATGTGACCTGACAAAGCAGCGACCGGAAGACATCGTTGAGCAGACGAGTGCGTTAAGTTTGCAACTAAAATTTTTCTTCACTCGACATGGCGGCCACTTCGGCGTAATGGAACTCAACAACCTAACAGACGCGCAACTATTTAACTGCGCAGCTAAGTAAGCGACTGTCTGTCTCTGATGGCGCTGCGCTATGTTCTTATGTAGAATCGTGCGAATCTGTCACGTGCCGCGCCTTCCAAGAACGGCCGATGAGCAATGATGATTCTAGGTAAAATCGGTCATCCAATCGCTAGCAGCTAAAAGCAGAACGAGATGTAACAAAAGTGTGTGCCTTATTATGTCCATGAGAAGATTGGGTTCATTCTAGCCTTTGCCAATATGCCTGCCATATTAATGCTGAGGAAATGTTATGTCGTTATCGTCATAGTATAAGCTGCTCAGAGCTACCGCATATGAGAGTACAGCTTTACTGAATATAACTCGAACCTGAATACTGAGAAGGGTAGAATGTGTGACGTAAATATCGCATTCCAAGTGAGTGCCAATACGATGCGATAGATTATTTATACTTTCATATAATCTATTTATTTATTCGTTTAAATAAAATAGAAGCAAACGGACCGTAATGAAGTACAATGTGACTAGACATTGTCTTTCCACATTGGTGTTCTCTGTTTTTAGTAGTATAATACACATAGGAAGATATTGCTGACAAAAGGCAACATTTGCGTGAAATTGGTTCAAATGTAAAAAATTCATAAAAATTCTACTCAGACATACTTCCAAAAGCTAACTGCTGAGTCCTTATTCTATTCTGTGTTAATCCGAAGGTACCGCAAAACGAATCTCAACCATGCATTTGTTCATTCTTAATTGTTCTATGCACCATCTTACACTTCTATTCTATTGCAACCAATACATTTTTTTAAGTGAATTTTTTAGAATGATTTTCTTTAGTAGAAAGTTTTCCAAACAGTTTCTTTAGTTCAAGTAATCCAACTAACGAGTCAATATCTGGAACTTGGCGAATTACATTTTGTTTTACTCGAGCTATCTTTATTCTCTTTACGACACCACTAATCAAAACAAAAACTCAGGACAGTTTCAGCAATGTCTTTTCTAATCAGTTTCACGTTCTTGCCATACCTTTTATCGAGCCTGGTACTCTTTAACAAATTTTAATAAAGGGGTAACAACAACAACAACCACCGTTGTTGTTTAGTTTCTTGTTTAGTTCTATTGTTGGTTAGTTGCGCTAGGTAATAAAGTCCAGAGAAAGCCAAATGGTTAAAACTATGGAAGCTTAATGCAAGAACCCGGACTGTAACTATCTAAGAGCTGTATCACAACAACGCTTGATAACTAATACTTACATAACACCGAATTGAATAAGAAGAGTAGATGAATTAGCAGGAAGACAATGATAGGCGGTTTCCAAACCCGCAGCTGACCCCCATATTTAAGACGCACACGAACCATATCCCACGGCGGGTGTCACCGCGCCACACACTCACAAACACACACTATCAATTCGCCATTGGGTTTGAATATTTTTTTTCTATTTAGAGTTTGTTACACGAGCACCACGAACTTCCACTTGACTCGTACATCCACATCGCAAAGTTCAACCACTATGCATCGACAAAATCGAACAAATTTTGATTATTCTATTTGTTTTATATTTATTAGGAACTACCATTAATCCACGGCTATTGACGAATCCCCACCAGCAACTGCAACTACCACTCTCACCCTGGGGCTGCAAGCTCTCTAGGCACTTGGCTTGCACTCTCTTCTATCTATAATGACAACATTACCCCTATCAATACGACTTTCTCCGACTACACTCAGCTACTCTGATTTATTCGTTAGTGAAACACTCGTTCTTGATGCATCCTTCCTCCATGGGCAGACAATTCACACTGAATGAGCGATCATCTGTGCGAAACTAAAAGTAAAAGGAAGGAACTTACTTTAGGGACTAACCTCCCGTGGCAGCTTCAGGGGAGAGCCTCGCTATAACGCGCGCAAATTCAAAATATCAAAAAAAGGTAGTGAAATATATATATATATATATATATATATATATAGACATATAAATTCAGCAAGACATGCGTTCTGAGTGCTGATTAACACTGAATCGATAATACATACGTAGGTACTAAATATATGAATTAAATATATGTCCTTTTGAAAACATCGCCAATTCAAAACAGCAGACGACAGAAGTAGACATAAATAAATACAGGCAGTAACGTTGCTATTAGATGAGAGAAGGCTTTAATTAAATGCTCCATGTTTGACATCGGGTATTGCCGTTAAGCACCACTTAGGAATGCTGGCTTCGAGTACGAAATGAAGTACGCCTACGCTTGGATTCAGACCTACATCATCATGTGCTCCCAAGTTTGCTAAACAAAAATCTATCATTGCACCATCACGGAGACGAGGGAGAGCTCCGTAAACATCTGTATATGTAAACATTCGAATTTTGGATCTCACGTGCTAAAGACATGGCGACAGTCGAGGAGGCGCGAGTTTGTATCAGTAGTTTTATCGTAGTCACCGAGCGGTGCGATCGTGTTCCAAAGGCTCTGTTGAAAAATGGACTTCGTGTATGATTAATGGGTGTTTCTTACTGCTCTTTTGTTTAATCGGCAAAGGTGCTCTGTTTTTCACATATTGGGGTCGAGGCAAGTATTTGTCACGCGTTACCCGATTCCATTGAATAACATTTCACTTCGCGTCTACGAGCAAATAGAATTTTTGCGTCTCCAGCTAATTAGGCGGAGCGTATAGAGACAGTCCAAGCACTGCTGCATGGTATGCTGACAATAATCGAACGTATTAAAGGCATCTATGACCCACTAGGCGTTACCGGTAAACCCCTCAAATCTTCTAAATTTCCTGCTCCAACAAAGCAAATACGTTAGTAAGAAATGGCAAGTGCACGAGCACAGAAATGCATCCCTAGACTTTTGAGTTTGTATATCTTAAATCTCAGAAACAACGCAAGTGTTGTAATGTGTGTATGTCCAAATCTAAACGGACCTAGCTTTTCTCGCAGGTCACCATTTGCCGATTGCAACTATCATATGTTTGAAGTTAGCGATATTCACGAGTAAGATCTGAGCTATTGAACTAACTAGAGAATGCTAGTCAGTAAACACCTATCAGAAAATAAAACTGCTTAAAAATCTGTACTCAAGAATAGCGATGTAAAATTGCTCCTATTAGTGGCCGATTTACCAAAGATAGAAATAGCTTAAAAAGTTCAGCGCGACACAATCAACAAGGATTTCTTACAAGTCCAGTATTAAGGAACATTTTTTAAATAAAGGCCCCGGTACACGCTCTATCGCTCTCTGTGTTTCCCCTAACGGGGCTACATCTGATAATTATCGGAATTTCATTGAATGTATATGGTACTTCTTGGACGTGTGTATTTTGAAGTAGAGCTAGGTTACTGATCATCCCATGGGAACCTAAGAAAGAGGTCAAAAACTTGGGGAAACTCGATAACCTGGCAGATATCACGACCGTTGAGCAAGGTGAGTCTTCTACCCAAGTATTGACTAAGATGGGAGCGACCATTAGTCCTGAGCATGATTAAAGGATGAAAAACTGGCAACCCAAAAAAATCTTACAAGTAGCACCAACCGTAAACCTTACCGCCGAAGGTAGAATGTCAGTACGGAACCCACGACTCATTATTCGGGGCACTAATTAGCTCACGATAATACAGAGTGTCACATCTACGTTAAAGGTAACTGAATTAGAATATAACAATCTAAGGAAGCTTTAGGGGCATCTGTACTATGAATATCTCTACAGGCAATTCAAAGCGAAGGAACTATTTAAACAAATGAAGCTCCAACTGGGGTGAATAACATGTCATATTGAGGAGCTGGTGTCGTTGAATCTCTACCCAAAGTGCTTAAAATACGGACATTCAGCAGCTAGCTATTTAAAGAACAGATGGACAACTTCTATTTTTAAGATCTATTTGCAGCCAATGGGGGGGAAATCATAAAAAAAGGGCAGGGAAAATCATAATAGGCATACCAGCTGAGCCCAACAAGAAAGTTATAACAGATTACAATAAGTATGCGATGACAGAGGAAAGGTCATATCTGTTATTATCCATAAATCCAACGTACCTATCATCCTTTCTAGAGAAAGCTACGGAATCGCCTGGGTGGTAGCGGAAGACCTTTTAATTGTAGGCACTTACCAGTCACCCAACGCACGTCGATGATTGTTGGTCCATAAACTTCAGCTTGTAGTTGGCCTTAAGATCGCAGTAACACAATTATTGCCGGAGATTTTAACAGACATGCTACTTTGTGGAGTACTAACCACACAGCGTTTAGGGGAAACGCTTTGGAAGACTCCGATATTAAAACGAAGTGAAGACTTTGCGTCCACTTGAGAAGATCGTTAATGAGGGATATGATACCCTCTTAGAATCTGGACTGGACCAAACTTCAGGCAGTTAGGTATGAGTTGGGAAAACTCATCAGAGCAAGTGAGGTATTCCACTGGAAGAAGATTATTGATGAGCTTAGGAATTACGTGTGGAGCCAAGCCTAGAAAATGTTCGTGGACAAAATGTGTACGCTTAACTCTATCCCTACACAAATTTGAATTTGCGGCCGAAATTATCGCAACACTTTTACCTTCGAATGACACCCCCAGGAATTCGATTAACTCTGCGATCGTTGACCCATCGCAAATTCTCCAGACAGACAGCGGGGAGGGGCATATTATGAAGACTATCAAAGCCTTAAAAAGTACTGTCAGCAGGACCCGATGGAACCCCCGCACAACTGCTTAAGAGACTAACAAGACTAAAGTTACTCGCAAAAGTTGTGGACGACGGAGTTATTAGCAAAATGGAAGCATGCGGACCTCACTTTTTTTTACCTAAACCAGGAAAGGACAAAAATAGCGCGCTAGCCTATAGGTCGATATGTTTACTAAACGCGATTAATGAATTTGCATAGAAAATTGTTGCTTGCAGATTTTTCGAAAAAAACTATACCAAACGTTTTAACTCTTGGGTTTATGAAGGATAGGTCGACAACGGATGTTGTTTAGTGGTGTTAAAAGTGGCGAAGGCAGAGCTGGAGAAAATAAAACGGTAATAAATATACCATGCCTTGGTGGCATTTTATGCCAAAGAAGCATTCATTTGGGAGGTCATAACCTGTAAAACCTAACCTAGAGAAGGTCATTGTCAGCTACCTAAATGACGGGTACATATTACACGGTGGGACCACATGACAGATATCGACGGACCTATTTGAAGGCTCTATGCTGGGTTCTTTTCTGGAATATAGGGTACTGTTGTCTTGCAACAGAAATAATTACAATCAGCCGAAGTAGCGGCATTTGTTATAGCGACAGCACTGTACTAGCAACAGTAGTTATAAAAAGAGACACTAAGGAACTTCAGTTCAATATTAATGATACCTGTGACATTATCAACACTGAAATTACTGGTCATAGCCTCAATTCGCCCCGGGAAGAACGGAGCTGGTAATTTTCAGTGTACGGAAGACGGCTGATGATGTAAACATAAGCGTATACAGCCATACAATTTTCCCGAAGAACACCACAAAATAGCTGGGGACAAATACCACGCTAGACGGAAAGGGACAAGGCTGTTCAGGTGACTAACTCGCTGTTAGGGATCCTGCCCAACGCAAACGGGCCGAAGGAGGGGAACGATTATTGCATTAATGGAAAAATTGATGGTTCTTTGTGTAGCACCCATTTGGCGGGTCGCGCCATCTAAGAAGAAAAAACCTAGCTGAACTTCAGAGTCTGTCTCTATGAACAGCTGCTTGTCTTCGCTACAGCGTAGAACGGACCTCAAGAACTTTCTCTTCAAGAACTTGGATACTTCGCGCAATGAGTGTTAAATGGACTTTTGTTAAAATGTTCTAGCGTTGTTCTGTGTTGGTGTTTATCTTCATGACATATCAGAGAATATTGTTGGGGAACGACAGAAGCGACAAAGATATGAACTGTTGAATTGTCAAAGGTTCTCTTTGTGTAATAGGTTTAGCCAAATAAATTACATTTCGAATCGGCTGAATAAAAACAAACATCCTCCATTTGAACCATAGTATAATTATATCTTTGTTTTTTTTGATAATCGTATTAAACCTACCTATTATCAGTTTTCAAAGTTTAATCGTTGACTGGTTTTATTCCTGTTTGCAATTCCTACTTGCCTATGATCTGTATTTAACTGCAGTACATGCTACCAGCCTATAATCAGCTGACAACTTTTAAATGAGGTCGTTTTGCCAGTGATATAGTTCACTAACAGTTGAACTTCATCCTAATACTATGATAGAACTGTTGATTTTGCATTATATTAAGTTTGCTTCCTCTAAAAACTGAATCAGATGTTCGTTGCGAGTGAACTGTACGATGTTGTTCGGGTGGAAGCACATCGTCTTAATGGAAACTCAATATATGAGGCTCTTCGTCAGGCGCTCAACAACAAATTCGTCAATAAGGTAACTAACTGTCGATTTGGACTACGGTGTGCACCGAAAGCCCTAGTGATCTTAAAATGTATTTGCATATATTATGCTATATAGATGAAAACAGTATCAGGAGGTTCCCACACAGTAATTCGTAGTTAAAATTTGCAGAATTGTTCTACACATATCTAAGCTTTAATGCAGAAAATATATTGTTTTGTTATAATCAAGTTAAATAATAACAATGCGCCATATAATTCAGATACTTAAGTAACCCTTAGAAATTAAGTTAACGCTGAATGATACAACAAAGCCCTAGAATTCGGCTAAACAAACAGTAATAAAGAAACGGAGCTCTTGTGTTTGCGTTGCTCCTACCGGTGTTTTTGTCGCTTAATTTTTTTTCTAGTTTGGACTTGTACTTTCCTTCATTATGTGGCATATATGACACAAGATTTGCATAGAGGAAGACGCTTCCTAGTAGGATAATCATTATCTGAATTTATACGCACCGGTCTTAAGACAAAGACGCCTTCTACACTGATTCTTTCTTTTGTTATTAGTTACCCATGTAGAAGCATCTGAAACTAGAATGGGCTATATCATATGTTAAGTTTTATATTATCAGATGAAGGCAACTTCTAATGAAATAATCCTATAAACTTGAGTACAAAGTTAGATGCGTAGCAAGTAGCATGTGTAAATCGTAGGAAAATAATTTACAATCAGGACCTTTTAAGCATGCATATATATATTTTTAGCATAAGCTCAGATATTCATGTCTTTACCATATGCACTTTGAAATATTCTTCAATACACTTTGAAAATTGTTCTCTTAAGTGCAGTAATGTTCGGATTGTTTGTCCGCTCGTACTCTCGAGCAAACTCAACTTTATTTGTGTCACCTCTGCTTGGTCTAGGTGTTACTCAACTGTGGATTGTTCATTAAAGTACTGGATTTTCTTCCGGAAAGCGGTTCAACCGACTTTCACATCTTACCTGGGGACGGAGCAGTACACAAGAAGGTATATTTTCGAGCCATCGTGTTTCGGCCCTTCCTCAACGAAGTTTTAGAGGGTCGAGTTCGATCATTGTCACCAGAGGGAGTCAAGATCTCCCTAGAATTTTTTGATGATATTATGGTGCAGGGAATGCGGATGCAACACCCCTCACGATGGGACGCTACAAAAGGTACAAGATCCAAATCATATTACCTGAAGTCACATCTGGCTCTTTTCTTTTCTTTCATAGATAAATGAAGCTTTTTTCGCCTGAACAAAACGTATTTAAAGCTAAGGTAGAATATATTTCTCGCTCATCTCGCCTTTACCTAATCGCAATTATTGCGTAGTAACTCGTAGCCATTTTGTTATTCATAAAGTAGTATATCATATAAAACTGGTCGCGAACTAATGTCATTAGCGTTGAACTAAAATGATTTCAAGATCGACTTATATGAAACTTCAGCTTGCTGGATTTGGGACTATGGGGCAGAAGATGGTGACTCGCACGAACTCTATCTAGAAGTTGGCGATCGGGTGCGTTTTCGTATTGTCGATGAGAAATTCACGGATTGCTCACCCGTAGGACCCCTTGTAGAATCTGCTCAACAGCAACAAAATCTTCCTTCTTCGTACACATTGGAAGCAGCCATGAATGAACCTGGTCTCGGTGTGTTATCCTGGTGGAGCTCTACCTGAAAAGTTCCTAATTAAAAATCTAAAGCAGGTGCATACATGCTTGTAAGGTTACATAGGTCTTTCCTGTTAAAAATGTTCTGTAAACGCTGGCCATCTCACAGATTCCTGCAAGGATATATAACTGATTTTGTTGCGGTTGGCTGAAGAGGCAGGTGGTAGTCAGTATTGACAAAGGATAAGTGTATGGTGACACAAAATCATTACAATTTGTCAGTACTGGTTAACTTAGATAACAAGTTAACCAAAGTTGTTAATAAGCTAAGTATATAGTCCTCTTACTAATATATGTCCATAAAATCTGATTGTTTGCACAGACTATATTCTGTCGGTGCAACTGTTCATTTTGCGTGTTTTATAATCGTACTCCACCGTTGACCTGTCCAGCACCGCTGCAGAAAAAGCCGGCACAAATTAAGTTAACTTGGTAAAATAGACGAGCAATACGATGATTACACATGACAATGGCGTTAACTCGTACGCAAATTACGCTAACTGCTGTTGTTGTATTGAGAACAAGGGCGCATCTTGAAGTTTGACTGATAATGTTTCATTATTATTGGATACTCGCGAGATTGTCTTTGTACGTCGCAGTGATAAATGCAAATGTAGTAACCGAAATCGCATATGTTCAATACAAATGCAAACCATAGATTCCCTGGGATACCGCTGCACCAACCATATAAATAAATGTATCATAGAATTAATGAGCGAATGGAATAAAGCAAGACAAGTACATGCGTATCGAGTATGAAGGTTTATTTGTGTTCGTTTATCCGATCTATAATGCGTAATATTCAGCCTTAAAGCTATAATATATTGTGCATATTAGATGGCATCACAAAAGCTTCGTCAGAACGTAAGGAAAAATGAATGAAATGAAAATGCTAGAAAAATTGATAATTGTCATGCCTATTGTCTATGTAGTAATTAGACCTACTTGAATAGTAATTAACATGCATAATACCTGCCACGATACAAATAGGTCGAGTACTTAGTTGACTTGCAATATTTTTCAGTGAAGTTTCCTATATCTTTATCTTGCTAAATATTTATAAATAGGTTTTTTTATGTACGCAGAATGTTGGTCGACTTCATGTTAAGTTTGAGATGTTGATAATGTACTTTTAATTGCCTCATCACATTAATTGCATGTGTATGTCTAGCGAAAGCCCTTTCGATGCATTAAGATTCGTTTTGCTAACGAAGTTATGAATTGACGTTATTATATCTATTCTTTATTAGTGAAACTATGAGTTTCTACTCTTAACTGTAATATTCACATCTAATGGCTGACATAACTCTTCACATATACACAAATACCACCTTTCTTTCAAAGGTTAGGCATTTTTTGAGTCCTGAGACTTGCAAGTTAAATTTCAACTACCATCCAGGTTAGTAAACCCGCTTTTCGGCTAACTACCGCTAACTCTAAGTTAACGAGAAAGTAGGAGGTCCAAAATATCGCTCGAACAATGCGTGCCGATGTTTATGCGTACGGCATCCAATTGGTGCCGTCTTCTGGCATCAAATTACCTGTAACTAATAAAACGATATCAACAACCCACCAAATGCCAAGGCCACCAACTGTGAGCAATTTACCGACGGCCGTACCCGTATGTCCTAGGCAAAATCGGTCCATGCCAAGAAAACCCAACAGTATTGAGTATAGTAACGTCGTCACAAAATAGTGACCTGAATACCTGCGAAGAACATGAAAAATAAAGCCTTATTAAAATGGCGTATTTCAACATAGACTCCTTTCCCTGTAGGTGCTAAGTTCAATTTGTCGATACAGGTGGTGAGGTAGCGTCATATAGTTATCCCTACCGACGAGGCATAACGGTCGAAGAAGCTACACAAACATTTTTATGTATTTCTTCGTGATATCAAATATTGTTTAAATAATTTTTTATGGAAGTTATTCAAGCATACACTGCTTCTAGTGGCAACTGGAATTAGTGAGGAAGCTCTATCTTACTTAAATTGAAAATAAAACAGTTGTACTTAATCATACAGATTGATACGCAATTGCTTACGTACTTAAGGCAGGGAAATCCTTCGCGATGAAACGTTCGATTTCCCCAGCACTCGATATTGGGCAACACACTGCAATTCACCGCCGTCATCTGAACTTCCTCGTACCGATTGCCACCCCACTGTCACAGCAAGACGATATAAAAAATCAAAATGAAATATGTAAAACTCTATTAGAACACATCGTTCAAGATGCAAAAATGTCAGTTCCTATTTTCAGTTAGAGGCATGTTTCTATTCATTCCAAATACACGTCGTAGGGAGTAGTCTGCTGCTGCTCACGCTCAAAACAACATTAAAAATAGTTGGACACTGACGATGGAATTTACAGCGAAACAGCATGCAATATACAGCGTACAAGTATCGTGTTACTATTCTTAGGTCATTAAACCGTCCTCAAACCCAATCACTTACTTTTGTACAACCATAGCCAAGATCCTGTCGCGCAGTCTCATTGCCCTTGAGGTCTAAAGGTTCGGAGCACTCAAGGAAATCTAAAGGCCTGAAAACCAATACGAAATTAATGTTACTCTTTTTCTTCATAATTGGTATACATATTGTATATGTTTATTAAGTTAAAAACCTTATTCGACCGACTTTCTTTTACTGTTGCTAAAACGAAGAGCTCGAACATTATTTACTGGCCTATCTACACTGTTGCATATTACTATCATTACTGTTTTGTATTACGCGTCATTATGCGTACAGATTGTCACAAGGGATGAGCGGCGTATGAGGTTGGTAAGGCGCGCTTGCATTCAGAATGCATTGCTGGATTAAATTTTGTCCCACAGCTGAAACTGCTACTGCAGCTATAAGCACCACGGTAATGAAGGTTTTTTGGCCAGCTTGTCGAAACGCCGGCATAACGTCAGATCGGTAATATGATGACACTATATAGCATTACAACTGGAACTCCAACGCATAGAGTGCGTTGAAATTTTAAAGCAAAATATGAAGTTCATGAAACTCGGAGAAGTCTGCGTGGATCTTGAGACAACAATCAGATGTTTGTCTTTGCGTGTTTTGCTTTCGAAGAGCGGGTTGACGTCTGGGTGAGTCTGTAAACAAACAACGGGTGTTTTACTCAGTGAGGGTCGTCCTGTTCTATTTATTTACAGAGAGCTACAAATAAAATGTTGTACTACTTCTGCAACAAAGCATGGAGGCTGTGGCATAGAAAGCTCCCGCTGGTCTTCAGGTTTTAGCTTTGTATTAGTCTGCATACCAATGAATTTGCCGGTGCGCTTTCTTCTTTCAATCACAAATATTAAATCATTGGTCCCTGGAAGCCCGATTAAAATTAACATTATTGTCTGTGAAAAGGATCTAGAAACTTTGTAAATAGGGACAAATAATTTACAAACTGGTACGTTCATTCGCTCAATTCTGCTTTTTTTTTCAGTATATAATGATACACTTATTAATATGCTTATTCTCTGTTTTTCTCATATTTAAATTTTGTATCTTGAATCCATTAGGTAATCAGTACAAGTTTAGCAGACGACTCTCTGTTACTTACGCGCGCTTCTTTTCTTTATCATTCTCTCATTTCAACCATATTTTCCTTTCCTCTTTACCATTAGACCTCTGTCTACATTGCAGACTATACAAATTGCTTGCGTCGTCATCTTTGTAAGCGGATGCGGCCATTTTGTAATCCTGTTGTTACTGTTGCTATAAACAAAGTCAATTCGTCGGAACGTAACAAAGGGGCGGCGACACAAGTCGACCCGTTGCGAGTTGTCCCGGCGAACTGATAGTATTTGCAGCAATAGCACCGGCGGCATCAGAAGTATCAATGGTATCATTGGAACATGTATTGTCTATGACAGCGTCTGGTTGCGGCGCTCATGGAGCTGCTAGTCGCAGCCATCTGGCCGTTCGTAGCGGCAACAATGGTCTTACTGTCGTAGCAGGGATAGGCGTAAACCCACAGCGGCTGCTCCAACCCAACCGCTAGTGCTATTCAGAGTCGTCGTGTTGTTCTCTTGCGTTATATGTGATTTTGGTCGGAACTGTATTGTTGGCGTCGTCAAGTCAGCGATGTAATTTTGCTACCACGGTAGCTGCTGGTACTGTTGCAGTAGCGCTGTCTGTCTGTCCGTTTTTGTGACGGTGTGCTGTTACTTTCTACGTTGCCATCTCCACCACCGCGGTTCGTTGTCACTGGCGCCGCCGCCGTCCGTGGCCGTATGCGGCTGCCTGCCGTCCTTTGCCTGCATTGGGCCCGACCGACTCCTAACTACCGCCGGGAAGATTACCATCCCTGCTGTGGCTCCATTACAAGACACAACAGCAACAAGCAGCACCAGCCTACCAGTACACCGCGTTCCCTCCCCTATCGCAGCTCAGTCGTAACAGCCAGAATTGTACCGTCTCACTGCCGCTGTGTTGCCTAGCATGTCCTGCTGCCGTTGGTGTTACTTAGTTATCAACATTGTCAGCGCCAGCACCGACCTCGCCCGACGTCGTCAACGCTACAGAAGCAGGATCATTCTGCTCCTGCGTGTATGATACATGATGCTATAACGTGTCATTGCTATAATTTGTTTTAAGTTGTGCCTCATCTCGTGAGTGTTTGCAACGTCGATTGAGTAGTCGGAGACAGTAGTTGTTGTTATTGTCAGCAGAGTTTGCACAAAAACTTTCTTTCGACGTTTCCGGTTTGATTAGTTTGTTCCCATGCTGTGGCCGGCCCTATATCGGCCGAGCGTAGATGTACCCCGTCCGTCCGTTTGTTCGTTGCTATTCTCGCTATTGTTACATTGCTAAAGGCAACATCAGTTCCATAATCGATACAATATCAACGTGGCATACTACTGCTACTGCTCTTTGTTGGGGACCGTGTGTGTGTTTGTGTGTGTATACGTTGGTATGCTTGTGTGTGGCATTTCTTAAGTTGTTTGGCCGTGTTTGTTTGCCCGCTCGTTTAGCTTCGTTGGATTCTGCTACCATAAACACGGTTTCCTGCCACGGCTGACGCTATTGTGCCCGAATGCGTAAGCTGGTGCCGTTACGATTTGCTGTCGTCGTTACAGACGCGACAAGAATCCGACGACTGTAGCAGCAGCAGCAGCAGCAGCAAAAGCAGACAACTTCAGAAAAGTATAGCCAGTTACCTCACGGCAGGTTGCAGCGGTATCGGCTGTAATTGAAGCTGAAAAAAACTCACCTGACAGGTGTATTGCTGTTACAGTCGTCCCTTCGTCATTGGCCGGTCAGTGATAGCAGCCGAACGACAGGGACAATTGCAGGCACAAAGTACGACAATAGTAACAATAACAGAAGCGGAATTGAAGAACGAAATCAGCCGAAGGTTTTCCTTGAGCCTGGTTGACATCAACGTTTTCCACTCCGTTCCTCGCATGGATATTCGTATGTTTCGATCCGACCCTCTGACTAACTCTTGTTAGTGAATGTTCTCATATCCGAGTGTATTTCTCGACAGATAGCGTCTTTCGACGATCGGGCGGGACGCCTGTACTATTCTCATATAGAATATCTATACGAGTGTCTGTTGCTTAACGTTATCGAGTGTTCGTGATTCTTTTCGCAACTTTTTATACATTCTATCTGCTAACTGTGCTCGTGTAACTCGGTTCGTTCCTCAACGGCTGTGCAAAAATGTTTAATGTTAATTTTAATTGGAAGGTGAAAGAGATCCTCGACAAAGCGTATGTATATATATATATATACCCTAGTTTATATGTATGGATATATTATTTAGGCATATTTTTATTGTTTCATGAATTATTTAATGACTTCAAAGTAAATAAATAAGTATATTCAATGTTGGGATTTTAACTTTTTGGTAATGGTTAAATATGTACATAATGATCAATGAATGCAGCAGTTGACTTCACCATGTATGAACATCCGCATGTATACCTGTGATTTCTATTTATAACTAAGATACACATTAAAAGCAATAATAATACGTACGAAGGTCACACGTTGATGGTTCAGTGTATGGCAGATTACACGAAGTTGAATAGGAGATCAGAGTTATCTTCAAACCGGACTTGCTGAAATCGGAAAAATGGCCGCTTAACCGGCTACTGACGGCAAATAGTTCCACTTCGAACCATAATAAACATCAGCTAAAGCGACAAAGCTACCAGTTATGGTATTCGCGACCATGCCAACAATCGTTCGGTACATGGAAAAATGGACTAAAGTCGACTGTTTTAGCGCCAAAGATATATATCTACACCGTTGTAGTCGCTGTTTATATATATACATATATACACCATTCTCACAAGGATACACGGATGGGGCTCATAGGGTTGAGCTGAAGTTAATAGACGTGTCACTTGGTGCTAGTGCAATTCTGTTTACTCTCTATAGCGGTGATCCTGTTGGCGATTAGCGTTCGTTGCTATTATTAGACGGCAAAACACAACTCGCCCTAGCTGTAGGGACAAGGTGCCATTTTCATGCATGGCAAGCAGGCGGCGAATGTTAAAGACGAGCGCGTTGTGCGTCACGAAATCGTCGCGTAAGGTCAAGATTGAAAGAAAGAGAGAAGCATTTGACAAGCTATAAGCGAACATCGGAAGCTTACTTATCATCTATTCATGAGTATGTGTATGTTTGGGCAAAGCGTGAGTATGAGTATGTAACTTCATAACAGAGCTCAGTATGAAAATTATCATATTATTACTTCCATTATGAACAAGAAGCCAACTTATAGGGACGTTGAAGTGTTGACAGACACACCTTTCTGAATGAATCCGTTGTAGGTAAGATGCATCATTTTAAATCCCGTAAATAGAACAGATGGGGTGTCGATACGACATAGCTGTTACACAAGTCGTCGAAGCGAACAGGCGTCGTCGTACTAGCTTGCAACACTGCCTCAACGCTGGCAAGGTGCCGCACAATGTTACGGCTAGCTAAGAGGCTACATAATTAGTTCTACAACTAATAGGCGTTACCTGCAGAGGATTAGCCTGTTCAACGCGTTCTTTCTACCGCTTCAGCCTGTTTATACATATACAGTGATATAATAAGTGTCCGTTGGTCAGCGTGCTGCAACAGCAAATTTGCTTCCGCTGCTGTGCAACTCACGACCATGAAATGGTAGCTGTTGCTCATAAGAATATTATCATTTTATTCAGTTACTCCTATGATTGTTCAGCCCTTTGATGGTTGTACCGTTCGACTGTCACGGATTCGCGTCGAAAACCTTTCGAGAAATGAACGGTTGCGGATTAGAATCGTTTGCACGGCCTGAGGCACATAGAGTAAGTGATATGGACAGTTTCAAATACATAAAGCCCATTCGGACCAGCCAGCTGACGCACACAATTTGCAACTAATTTCACTAACGGCTTCAGAGAACGCTAAGTGAGAACCACTGTGATTTACTGGCTGCCATATAAATAGTTGTAGTTCGTTTCACAAGGACGAGCGATGTTAATGCGGCAGATAGCGTGATGTTATCAAGAACAGTGGTATTTAAAGCAGCAGGTATAGTCGAAGTTACGGCACCTATAAATAACTGCAGAAGCCAGTCTGGTTGCCAGGCTAAACATAGTTTGCCAGCAAGTAGCTCTGCCAGTTTGGTAATGCGTGCTGAATTATAATAGAACTGGATGCACAAGGGTTAGACGTACAGACACTCCCGGACAGTCTGCACCGACAGCTTCTGCTCTGACTGTAGTAACTGTTTGAAGAATGATAGCAAAGCCCGCCGCGACTGAAGGGGGGTGGGGAATTCGGGCGCACTCGTAACTGTCCCGCTAGCAGTTCGTTAATGCTGTTGCTGTTGTTACGATTGATGATGATGATGATGATCAGCATTATGATCAAGTTTTTCTCCGTATTATTTAGATCTGTGCAATTCATATGCTTGTTATATACTTAAACGGCAGGTCCCAGTGCAAAAATAGTTCATACCGTTTACATCCAAATATTTATTCAATTAGAAGCTGGTTGCATTTCCAGAACGTTATCTTTCTTGAAAAGCCCAGGGGGATAATCGTAGTACAAATATTTGAGATTCTGACCTTACCATTTGAGATTTTGACCTCATTGCTCTTTATTAAGCAACACTCTTTATTTTATATTTTTGATAATTTTAGTTTGCTCTCATCTGCAAGGTGTATTAAATTTAGATTTGAGTGTAACAGACTCGCGATCGCTAGAATACTTAAGTTGTTGTACTATGCTCAGCTTTATTTACGTGCGCTCGACTACTTAGAATACGAATGTACCGGGAAAGCTTCACACAGCTTAGCATACCCTCGTGCAATAATCGAGCAATTTACGTCATTTGCATCCTTTCAGGCTCGCGGGCCTTTGTGAGAATGTCACCAAAAGTGTAATCTCCCATAGTGTGTGTAATCTGTAACAAACAGCACCTGGCGGTAACGGTTTGCTACAACTTAAAAGTTAGGCATGATGGACGAAGGACGACAAGGTTTCTTGGAACAGCTTGGGGTGACTCAATTGTCTCCAGGAAGTGTCCTAGTGCTAGTTCAAGAAGTGCTTCAGGCTGTCGCGAGGAGAGGGTGTTTTTCGACCTTCAGCTTCGCCATCTACTCCCAACTAGTAGCGTAACTCACCTGCTAGCTCTATTTATAGTTACTAATATGTCGCAGCTTCCACTAAATGCTTCTGAGATTTCTAGCGGGGACCAAGACAGCTGCATTCTTACGCGGCTACAAATATACGTACACATAGCCAAACGCATACTGGGACTCACAGGGTCGACATACCATACCGTCGGAACGCGGGTGAGGAAAGCTAATGCGCATCGTTCCGCCCCGACATTAACAACACTGACTACAACTACTTGTCTTCTGTCAGCAGATTCTCTAATGGTGTCAGTATCTGTACTAGGACTATTGCTCCAACGTGTGCGAATGGCAGCCCAGGGAATGGACCGCCGAATACAAATGATTTTACTTTTACCGAATAACTGCATCCGTTATAGTTGCTGACGCTTCCGTAATTGCGATGCAACTGGGCTTAAGGACTAGGCATATAAAGCCAGTTCTACAAAAGTAGGCCTAGGCAACTTCTAAGTGCTTCGAGTTTTATGACCGGTCGTGCTGTTAAACATTACATCAAACAACTTTTCTACTACCATTATTATGCTCCAGGTACCTGCAGTCTTTTAACAGCGACGGGAAAGTCGACAGCAGAGGCCAACAACGTTAACAACGGCGTCAGTTATCGTTGACCACTATAGGTTTTAGCTCGAGCGGACTAACAGCGAAACCTGGTCACGCGATGCGAATCTATTTGCATATCCTTGCAGACCTGTGTGGAGAAGGTTAACGAGGCATGAGAATAGACTGAAAACAAGCGGCTGGGTAAATGGGGGGCAAAGGTCATATATATATATATATATGATAATCTAAAAGACTATTTCAAAGATGCCTAGTTGTTCGCTTGTTGCTAGTCTTGAAGAAGCCATAGAATCTTAATACTGCTTGAAGCATACTACATGGTATTCTGATAGAACCGTTTGAATGACCACAGTAGTCGTCGTTGTAAACAATAGTCATTGTCATTTTAGACATACACTAACGCTATGACATTATAGCATACAATCATAGCAATTATAGGGATGGTATCCCGTAACAAATGTCTCATACAGTTAGGTTCCTTTAATGCCATCATTTGTGTATTTCCTGCTACCCTAACAAATGTGAAATGAGGACCCTCGAATCAGCCGGACTTTGGGTCAGCATAATATATATATCAATCTAAATGCATATGTATTAGCGATATAGTACATGTATACATAGCAATCCTAAATACCGTCCGAATTTATTTTTTAGAAATACAGTCAAAAGAAGCTTTACTATTGCATGTGAATTTTTTTTTACAAAGCACGATATTATTGATTTTTGGCTGAATTGTCTATAAAATTGTGCCCTTAAATTCTACTAAAGACGCATACCAAGAGTTGGCAAAATTTATGACCTAAAAACTACAACACCGTCTATTCAAAACTTGGTTCGAGTCCAGTTTTGTCCAGACATATATCCACGTCAAGCTTTGGGCTTATAGCCACGATATACAAAATAAAGTAAACTTCACTCAAAATCTGGTATATTTTAAATTTCAATGCGAATTTGTGACTAAAGATTTATAATTCAATTAGAAAATTAACTCAAACACAGGCCTTGGAAAGCTATTTCACTTTGTTTGTTAAGTTTTGTGATCTATTTGAAAGCTAAGTTTTGTGATCACACCAAATTAAACTTTATTTCATATCCTTGCTTCTTTTGGCTTGGAATAAGTGTATTTCTATATATAAAAACATATAATTACATTATCAGGAAGGTCTAAAAAGGCATTTTTCAATGACCCTGTGCTTTACAATTCCGATTAATATCCGTTAACAAAAGAAAGGGTACCAAGTGTTACAGGGAAGTGGCCCTTGTTGACCTTCAATTAAAATTCAAGTTAGAACACAATGTCATTTGCATATTGAAAACACAAAAGAACTAAGCTAAAATAATTTTTCTTGAGCATTTTTAAATCGCACGTTTCCTATGAGTCATTCATGCTGTTGCTTACATTTCGGTAGCACGTACATGTGTGTATATGGGTGCTGAAGCTCATAGATTCTTGCTGATTGCATATATACCTGTCTGCCCGTTTATATAACTGAGTTTGCATCCGATGGTCCGTTTGGTTAAAGAAAAGTGGGCCACGTGTTTCAATGATGGCTGTTGCTATCCTGTTTTTGGGCGAATAATAGATCAATAATCTCCCTTCTATTTCACTCGATTTTTTTTCTACAGTAGCGAACATTGGCGGCGAGTCGACGTTGAGAGTCGGCGTTCTGAAAGAGTACTCCGAACAGTATTTACTACTATTATTATTAAGTGGCCGATTTAGTCAACCGAGCCAAACCCACCTAGCAATGCACTCAGGACAGTACGTAAAAACATTTCATGTTACGTCAACGGGAGAGCAGCAGGAAAATTTTCAATGACATTGGCAGCAGCAGTAGGGACACGTTCAGTTCTAGCTGTTAACAAAACGTTACAACAAATGGGAGCAGCGTTACACGAAAATCGGCGCATCCATATAGAGACGGGATGGAGAACACGAATGGAGAATTAGTTCGTCACTGTGCCGACGTTCTGTGTTAGCTTTGGTTCTATTTCGTCGTACGCTATATTATGTTCACCCGGACTGGGAAAAGAATAGGCGGGCTTGTAGGACTGGCACTACCATATCTTGCCGTAATTGCGTAGAGATCGATAGACAAAGAGAGAGAAATACCGCTTGTGCATTCTGCGTAACGTTGATGTTTGGCTGGATCAAGGGATAAGTGTTTGGCACCAAACGGAATTGATCATCAATCGCTGCTATCGAGCAAAACCAAACCGAAAGACACAAAGTTTTCTTGTCTCTGTAGGATGACACTGCTGCAATTCGCTAATACTTGCAGTCAGTTAATACAATTCAGACATTTTAAATGGCTCAATGTATAATAAAAAAGCAAGCTATTCTTAGAGGTATGACATTTGTTGTTTGGTATTACAGCAATAAAGTTTTTCACGCAAAAATAATCAATAGGCAGAAGATAGATTTGGTCCAAATTTTTTAAAGGTACTTAGAATTTTGTTTACGTTTTGTTTTTGTGCGTAACAAACGTAACAAAGGCAATTAACGTAAATACAAAAAAATGTGTTTACGTTAATTGCCTGCTCGGTAGTAGGTTGTTTCATTTATCGCAACGTGAAGTTGCGCTTTAAGACTGCGCTTTAAGGCGCACTACCTTTATTGGAGTATTAATGATGACTAGTCTCATCAGCAAATTCTGGTTAAGATGAAACCGCGTTTATTATAATAAACTTGTGTAAAATATTTGAACTAGTATGGATGTGGGTCAGATATCAGCTTCAGGTATCGCTAATACGGATTGAAAATCGTAGATGAAGCTCAGCAATTTTGAAATGCATTTCTTTTTAACTTTCATACTCATGATTGTTGGCTATATTTAGGAGAGTATTGGCTGGAGCAGTTATTAGCTTAAACACGGTTTTAGTATAAATATTTCTATGTACATTCTAAGGAAACAGAAAAGTTAAAGCCAAGCAACATAAGCACGAATTGTATTTTGTAGTATTGGAAGGTAATGTGTTCTTCGCAACGCAAAGCGAGGCGGTTATAAGATCTTCGACAGTAATAAAACGAATATTACTATTGTTGTTGTTGTTGTCATTATTATTATTATTACTGCCAGTATTATCACATTGATATTTAATTCGTCACAATAAGTAAATAAAGGCTGTGCTTTACATTGAATCTGACAGCAGGTACGCTAGTCACGCCAATGTTGCTCTCTCATTAATAATGAGCGCATCCTGTGAGAGAGATTAGTGTGCAGCGGGATATCATCCGTAAATCTCAGAAATTCATAAAGAGATTACGCTTGAAATTTTAAAGTTCTTCAATCAAATTGTGCCTTCACAAATAAGAAGGTTAAAATAACTGAATGAACGAGGGAAACGAGGCAAATTAATGTTAAGCGAACATGTAAAATTATCTTGACTCGTCCTATTCTCGACGAAGTTGCTAATGTGCCAAGTGCTATCAAACTTCGAACCCAGAGCTTTGATGCTAGCAGAATATTGCCACAGAAGTATTAGCGTGTATGTGTGTATGCCTTACTAGAAAAGTTTCTTCTCGAGTCCCAGGGAAAGCTTGCTTGAGGTTGACTATTCCCCATTATTATGCAAGCCGCGGCCACTGCTGACTCTCTCAGGTCCTGCCTGGTCCTCGGGGGTTGCATCTCCTCATTCACCAACCTCACTCATCTACGTGGCAATTCAGGTCATCGCGTGCAACAGCAGCTAAATCATACAGTAGCCGTAGTTGGGGCACGCCCCAACTTTACTAGGCATGACTATTTTCTGGTTCTCATTATATCATTTGTAATAGTGGTTGATCTTTACCAGCGTGGAACGGCGAGGTGCGGGTAGCAGTGGCGAGGTGACAAAGGGTCATAGCATGAAGGTCGGTTCGTCGGCACTTCCTAATCGCCTCTCACCATAGTTCTTCACTCACATTGAATGCTTCGTTCTCTCATAACGAGCGATTTGCCACGCATTATTAGTACCGGGGGGCCGCATGCAATCATTGCCTGCATATGCGTTCAGTGTCATATCATTTGCAATGCTTGATTGATCACAGCCGACACCACAGATACGTTTGTGGTGAATATAAGAAGACGTAGATTGGGCTTCATGCCTAATCTTGATGACGCCCATATGAGTCCGTCATGTTGTGGCTCGTTTGGCTATCAAACCTGTGGCAAATAGTATATTAGATATATTGTTAGAGAGATTTCTATAGATAGCGGTTTTTATTTTTATGAAGGTTTTGATTAACTGTTGCCAAGCGAAACGATTACTGTTGAAGTATGAAAAGAAGCCAAATAGTACGGTATAATCTTCCATCTTTTCATCACAACTATGGCGATAATCCTTCAAGTTGTATGTACAAGAGTATATACGCTCATAACTATAGTTATGAGCGTGCGTTAAATATCGCATCCGCGAATGACATTGCCGTATCATCATAGCTAACAGACCAATAGTGGTAAAAACTGTAATAAAAGACCCGAAAAAGGATTAGTCATCATTGAACTTTTCTTTATTGGTAGTAATAAATGTTTTTCAATTTAGGGTTTGCGGTAAGACTTTAAATACACTATTTTACCAAGAGTTGTGTAGGAGTGATACAAAGCAGTAGAACTTAAATTTAGTTCTTAGAATGAATGAAGACTATACACAGCGCTCAACAGTCCTTCTTGGTAGAGTCATGCAAAGTTCGCTTTCTGTGGGAGAAGGTTTGAAAGTTTGATTGCTGAATTGAAGCCAGTCTTTATGCTCATGCATTGTGAGCGATGGTGCAATTAAGTACAAGTGGAAGCAGTTAACAGGTTGGAGACAGTAGTTCAGACTTCAACGACTTACAAAGCGACTGCAACAGGATATTTTCAAGTAAGGATTCGTAGCATAAGATTAGTAAAATGCATTATAACAAGTATAGGGGTTACTGCTATTAGATATGCTTATAAGCCATCGGAAACACAATAAAGTATGTATATTCGCAATAACAAATGAAGTTCATACACGTATTTAAATATGAGTGTGATTAAGTACAGAAACTATTTCAGTAACAGGTGCTGTTATTCTATGATGTGCCGATTTTGTTGGTTGATACCAAGAGATAGTCAACGTAAGATGCACGTTAAGTTTCGAGTCTGACAGTTTTCGTATTCCTACTTAGGAACATGGAACTAACGCTAACCTATATCTAATTTGAATTGCAGGACGAATGTCCTATACAACTACACGGATTTGGAGGCAAAAGTCCGTGAGGCAACGAACGATGAACCATGGGGTCCGCATTCATCGCTCATGCAGGAGATCTCGCAGGCTACCTTCTCGTATGAGTCCTTCCCGGAGGTGATGGGCATGTTGTGGAGGCGACTACTTGAAGATAATAAGCGCGTTTGGCGAAGAGTCTACAAAGGTATGTATGCGTATGGCAAAAGGAAGTAACGCCAAGGAAAAATTTTCTTTGAACCGTAAAACTAGTCACAAAAATAGCTCTAACACCGCCATCAGCTAGAGAAGGCTCTGTTTGTTGCGATCGCTGCTTTAAAGTCTTAATCATCATCGATACCGGACCTTTGTTCAACATCTTGCTTTAAACTGTTATCTTTATTACTGCCCACTTATCTTTTACATTGTGCACCTGGCTGTTGCATCTTACTAATAGACAGGTATATCTAGAAATAACAATTGCACGTGCCCTTTTGTTGTAGCTTCCGTTGAATAGTTACTTACCGGATTCACAAAAAAAAGCTGGCTAAGTGTCATTTAGTGTTCCTATCGATTAATATGTTACGGCTAAAAGTCGAGAAAACAACAGTTGATTTTTGGGCCACACTGAAGTTATCATCACATTCATCAAACATAAATTGATCTATACCATGCATCGTGATATATGAATAATACTTACAGCATACTTACACAATATAGGCTACACACAGGTAGATACTCAACTCTTTTTAATTTCGTTAAACATACAGCGTCATATATGTCCATGGTTTAAACAATCATTTCTATCCACGAATTTGGCTGTGCAAGGCACCTCACATATAACAACGGCCGATGATGAAAAGCCTTATATTTGATGTGTGTATCTGGGTTAAGGCAGTCCCAAACGAAACTCCACGAGAAAGAACATTTAATTAGGTTTGTAAGAAAAAGCATTCACAGGAAATGTCTTTTCATAATGAACGGTTCTCCCAAGGAGTGTAATTCATTCACGGGTCACTTCAAGTTCTCACCTCAAAGGTGCTATCATTACTAAATGCGGTTTCGAAGAATCCATGCTGTCTCAGACAAAAATTACCAATTCTCTTTTTCAATGAACCCCTCTTTCGAAGCGATTCATGCGGTACTCATTCGACATTTCGATCCGGCTTAATGCATATGATAGCAACAGAAAAACTTTGTTTTAGTGTGCGACTTTGACAGCAATAGCGTATGGCCAAGTGCATAACGTTTTAGCATGGAAAGAAATAGGATATTTAAAATATTAAAGACTAATATTAAGTTAAGCAAGTTAAATAGATGTTTTAAATACGTGTCGTGTGGTAAGCTTGGTTGTGCATGGTTTTATTCCAAGTTCTATTTTCACGTCAGGCAAATCTTGCAGATCTTTGTGTTGTTGTTAGCCAGATGATTTACATTTGTTTTGTGCACTGCTAGGATTTTGGTTTCTTGTTAATACTAGCTTTTCTCTCCCAGTATTTAGACTTCGTAAGAATAGCGTGAGTTGCTAAATAAATAATAGATACAGTATTTTTTATTGTTCATCTATCATTTTATTGTTACTCGATGTGGGGCGGAACGCTAAAGGTCAATAAGCGGCATCCTTCTTCTGACAAAGCCATATCAACGAAAATATTTCATTGTTCGCAGGCTTTTCATTGGCTGATTGATTTAACTTGAATGTAAACAAGGGTAAGTAAAGCAACGATACAGTTAGGTTTTGGCAAGATGTCCACTTGTTAGCCTAAGTTGTTCTAATTAGTCTTCCGTCAGAACACGGCATAGCTTTCACATACGTGTTTATCACATGCACTACTCAGAAACTATGAAGACTTCTGACTAAATGAAGTATTGCTCCCTCAGAACAAGTAGATGATTCTGTCCGGTTTATCGGTTTGCGCGGGCATTGTTGGTCATGTTGATATCCCGCAATACTGACTTTCAGTGCTTCGCTGTTGTTCCATAATTTTGTAAGGAACGAAACAGCGACTAAATGCATCAGTTTGTAAGCTATAGCACTAATCTATTGGAAGTTATGGTGGCGCATCATTTTCGTTCGGCTGCCAGCTAGTTTCTAAAAAATTTAGACGGATTCACGAGGCAGCTGCAGATAATATTTTGCTGAACTACACGATGTTTGCGACTGGTTCTTCTCTCGCAGAAACAAAAATGATCTTATACACTCATCAAATTACCGATATCGAACATCGCATAATTCAGTACGTAGCTAGTTTCGGTAATTCCATAAACTCTTGCCAATAGTTAAGCCGAGTCACGTAGCCGGCGTTTCATGTGGCCGTGTTTTAATAACAGCACAAATTACTACTGCCTTTATGTAATGTTACTTGTTATTTCGAGCTTCAATGTAAATATGGCGAAACATACCTCTTATTCTTCGAAAATTTTCGATAGCTCCATTAATCTATAATATATAGAGTATTCGTTCGATATCAGTTAGTGCTACCTTAGACCTGGTGCGCCTACTCACATAATTATGCTCAGCCTTACCGCAACACTGGCAGTAGCAAAAGCACTACTGCTGTTTTCCGTTGTTTAGTCGTACTTTCGATATAATTAGCTTTTTTAATCGGGTTTGTCTTGTCGTATTTCTCGGCCTAAATGGAAATATTCTTTGATCGTTCTAATCCTCGTTATTAATTGTCCATAATCTGAAACGTCTTGACGCCGCTGGGTTGACTATTTGAAATGTCCCGAGCGACTGTTCATAGTTCCATCGCATTGCCTGAGTAAAGAGCACTGTTATACGGCATGTGGTAACAGGTTGAGTGAATTTTCTCGATAGCTAAGCTTCAATGTCCAAGTCAACTCGACTGGTGGCCGAGCTCCTAACGGAGACTAGTGCATCGTTAACCGTCCTTTCTGCCATGTGCGATCGTAACGGTTTTGCTTGCAGCCCAGTGATCGAATAACGCCATGCAACTGTCAGGGTTTAGAATAACAGCATTTAGTGACAATATGTTACCAAATGAACTAGTACATTACACTGCCCAATTAGTTAGAACACGTCATTAATAGTAATAATAATGATGATTAATTAATAAATAATAAGGAAACGTTTTCCGTCGTTACTATTCCGTCGTGGATGGATGCCCATGTACGTTAGATAGAAGGCTTGCAAGACTCGTCACAGGAGATGAAAACAAATTCTGTTTAGAAAGCTGGAACTAAGCATCACCGGATCAAGTTTTGATCATAAGCAATAGTCAGCGAATATTATATTAGCAAAAAGAATGGTATTTTGGCATCTTGTTAAATAATATTAGTGCTCTATATTTTAGAAACGCATGTAGCTGCAGGGTTATCGAAGATAAACAACAAAGCACCTGCCACAAAACGGAGGCGCTTCAGAAAACATACTTTCTTAAGTGTTTCGCTACTCTGTTGATTCAACGGACTCGAGTGTATCGGCGTTGAATATGTCTTTCTGATGTAAGGGTCTGCCCACGCGCCGCCTCTTGCGGTCCATCGAATAAGCAAAAGTTGACCGTGGTATCGCGGTATTTTTACTGCAGTAATTTCTGTTGATAATGAATAGTATCGAGTAAGATTAGCAGCGTGTGTTGTTCGGCCTTAGTAAGAAGATTGACAGTCGTTTTAATACAGGGAGATGGATGAAGGCTGCAGTTTCTCATAAGTGAAGTAAGTAAACCGGGTTAAATATATATATTCTTCTTAAAATCGTGGCTTTGCTTGGAAAACACCCTGGGTTACTCGAGTATTCTTCCATAGCTTTACGATTAGGTATTTTTTCTTCGGAAAAATACCAGTAACAGCTTATAATGAATGATCCCGCAATAGATGCACTGGCGCTAAGCATTGCAGCATATCTGATTTTGAGGTATCGCTAAGCTGAAAAACAGCGGAAAGGTAAAGCACTACCCACCCATAGCTTTGCGACCTATTTGTCGTTATCAAAGCCTTCTTTTGATCTGCCAGCATTGCAAATTATCACGTGCTTGTACCCCACTAAACATGCAGTCAGATACGGCGCTAAAGATCAGATCGTATTAGATTAGCTATTACTAATCGTTAGCTAAATTGTAAACTAAACTTAAAAAAATGGTAACTTGAAACACTTCTTCTAGGTCTGCGCACCTTTGGTACTGTGAGTACACCAGTTAAACAGGTGCCGCGCAGATAGTCCTAGGTCTATTTAAAAAATGTGTGAGCTCGTTGGAAGTCAGGATAAAAAATTGAAACACTGCTTAGCCACATGCTCACGTCCTAGCAGTGAATTTGTGCTTGAATATATACAGCACTACTTTTCCGAGAGAAGAAAATAACTACCATTATCTTTTTTTTGTATACATATATAGCGGGATCTATTACCTTTTATATGTATCGAGTAGCTACACTGTGCTAGGGAGTTCTTGTGGACAGAAAAACGAACACTTGTCCCACTAGAAGAGCGGACAAAAGGCTCACTTAAAAAGTTCTCTCCGTTTAAGTAAAAAGCCTTAATAAGTTTTCAATTATCAAAGAAAACTGGGATACGCTGGAGAGGATAATACCGTGCTCAAAGTAGCTGCATACATAAGAGAAGGAATTTGAATGGTGTCGATAGCTTCATATATAGTTTCGATAAATTCTCAAAACTTTTACCACTGTCACAATTTACTAAATATCGCGTTAACAAGAAAACAGTGAAAAATATGCGACGCCTATTTATTCGTAAGCATTGGTATTTAGAAGTACACACAATAATATAAGCAAGCGGTGCAACGGTATGATTACCATTTAGAGAAAATCGTTGTTGATACAGTAGTATATGAAACCTTATTTGCCCAGCGACAATTGCTAGTTCGTCGTATGATATATACACGTGTGTTCTATAATCGGTATGGTGTTGCATAGGACCTTGCAGAATGTGCCCTCTTACCTGTAACTCTGTTATAAAGTATCAAATATTTTTTTGTTTTGCTTGTCGGTGTGTCATTTTCATGGACAGGCCTACTGCTACTGGACTACCTCGTGAAGAACGGATCGGAGCGTGTCGTGACCTCCGCCAGGGAACACATTTATGATCTCAGGAGCCTCGAAAACTACACCTTCGTTGATGAAATGGGCAAAGATCAGGGAGTTAACGGTAAATATTGCAGGGTAGACAAAATGTATAATCTCACCTTTTTTTTTTTGATAAATTATTGTTCTACTGAAGCGAAAAACTAATTTGTGGTAAAACCAATTAAATATAGTGAAATGGAGTTAGTATCATTCGAAACAGATCGGAACTAATACGTCTATAAAGTCTCTTGTTAATAGAGAAAAACATCATAAACTAAAGAGCCGACATCGCTCTGTCATCGTTGGACGATTGGGTTCTTGCTAAACCGGTTTTTCTTTATGTTTATCGTTATCATTTGATCGACGGTGTGCTCGATTTTCTGCTCTGTCCTGTATATAGTACGCAATCGCGTAAAGGACCTCATCGAGGTAATTCAGGACGATGACCGACTTCGCGCGGAACGAAAAAAAGCCAAAAAATCGAAAGACAAGTATATAGGATTATCAGGGGAAGCTATGGGCTTCGCCTCTAGAAGGACAAGCGATTTCGCGGATTTTCCCTCTGAGAAGCGAAGCCAACATCGTCGGGGTAGTTTTGGTGACTCGAATGATGAGGACAGCGATCGTGACATCAAGCGAGGCTACAGGGATTCGCCGTCACCGCCGAGGAAGGATGATCGCTCTGCCGCAGCTTTTGAAGAGCCACAGACATCAGCACCTAAGGCCTCGACATCTTCCGTTAGCTATCAACAGAATCTGGACAGACAGCCGAAGAAGACTATGCCTTTAAAGATGATCGACTTAGGTGCAGCAGCGGTATTTGCGAACGAAGCTAGAAATCAGACTGGAACAGCAGCCGGTTCATCACAGGCAGCTGCAGCTAGCAAATCCTCTGACCTCTTGAGCGACTTAGATTTTAGTGGTGGCTCAGAATCAAGTGGCGGCCAGGGAGCAGCAGCCTCAGCAGCGAACGGGGACTTTGCTGACTTCAGCCAGTTCCAAAATGCTACCGTAATTGCGTCCACTATTCCGGCAGCACCCGTAACTGCACCACCACAAGTCTTCTCACTGTCTTCGGCCTCAGCAGCGACAACAGCTGAAGACGACTTCGCAGACTTCGCTTCGTTTAACTCAGCAGCTACTTCGTCGTCTGGTATGAATTCGCTTCCAATAAGTGGTTCAGCCGCTATGGCAGCACCCGTAGTTAATATGGCTTCCTCAACTTCGTCGCTCCCGACGGAGCTATTTGGAGGTCCGGTCGTGTCGATGCCTCTTTCGAGTGCCCACCATATAGGGGCCAACCCTATGGGTGGAATGAACCTCATAGCTACACCTCCCATGGCAACCGGTATTCCTGCTAGTCCCATCATGCCCAAAAGCACATCTGCTATAGGGGTAAGTATTTTTCATAAGGCAACTGTACTAACTTCGTCATAAAAAAATCTTAAGTATTATTATATTTTTCAAGTCAACTAAAGTAATGCAATGACAATACGGGTTAGTAGGGGTAGCTAGTTGTTTAAACAATTGCGAAACCTTTACATTGAATTAGCAGGAAATTACAAGACACCATAGCAGAATTTGCAGTTGCGTTTAATTCATAAGCACTTCTACGTTGGACCTTTATTATTGCTCTTGTTGAATCATTAACGTACTTCGAACACACGTGTTGATAGGCCAAGTATTACTAACCGTGTTTTTATGAAATATTCGTTCGTCAGATCCACAGACCTTCGTGAAACAAGCAAGTCAACATCGAAATCTTATCAATATCTGTATTTTTTTAATCCATGGTTTTCATCACTGTTTCAGGCCCCTGTAATGAGTCCCATGTCGTCAGTGTTGACCCCAACTCCACTTCTGCCAACAAACGCTACTGTAACAACAACCGTTGCGGCTAGTATCGAGAATATAAAGAGAGATGCAGCAGGCGGCGGGTCTGCAACCCTCGGCAGTACGTGGAACGGGCTCAACATCAGCGTCGATAACCTCCTTAGTCCTAAACAGGAAGAGAAGCGGCCAACGATGAACCAGCTAGCCCAGGGTGTGCAGACCATGGATCTAGGGAAGCCACTTGGGAGCCAGCCAGTCATTGGAGTGGCACTGCAAATGAATAATAATAGCCAGCTCAGTAACAACAACCAGTCTAATAACAATAATAATAACTCTTTTAGTGGATTTGACCTTCTCAGCTGAACGCTCCCGTTCAAAGCTTCATCAATAGGAAGCCACCATATATATATACATTCCAATTGCTGACAGCTGTTTGCAATTAGTGCTAATATCATTATGAATGAATGACAATAACATTTAAAATTTGAATGAAATACAAAGAGAACGTGTAATAGATACAGAACTTGGAAAAGGTATTTTGTGGTGGGAGAAGAAGCTGATGAAAGAGTAGAAGTATGTAATTGAAAACATGTATCGTAAAAAGAATTTGAAAGTTTGGACAAAGCAACAGAGGATGACAAAAAGAAGTAGACGAAATCAGATAACGGCAAAACGTAGATTATATAACTGTCTGATAAGAACAGTATGTGTACGAACATTCCAGAAAAACTGTCCAACGGAACCAGTTGGATACAAAATAGTATGCAAAACCGTACTACCGCGGTTAAAGCTTAGCAAGCGGAAGCTTTCTGTGGTGAGGGAATTTGCAAGGAGTGGCTTTTCGCACGCCGAATAAACTGGCGAATTGTACATAAGGCATAACCAATCGATGATGACGATGATTTTAAGGCCGTTGGAGGCCATGTTGTTTCTCAGGGTGCAATTTGTTCAGTGCAATAATAATAATAGTAATAATAATAATAATAATAATAATGACGAATACGACTGTCCATACTGTTCGTTATGGTCATTAAAAAAAATAGTGTTTTATCAACGTGAGTGTTCTAGTATATAGAGCATCCCTGACAGTGGGACCATTATAATGACGTGTCGATGACGCTAAACAAGGCAAGGTAGTGACATTTATGAAGATAATTCCCTTCGTAGAAGAACATTGTGTGAACAACAATAGTATTAGATCTTACTGCAGGTGTCAACGAGGTTGAAATGTTCAAGTCTGAAAATGACCGAAGATTATTCTAAAGGTTAAAAAAACCTTTCCGAATATCAACCGTCAATATTCCGTCTATAGCGAATAGACAACCGTTGACAGGTGGGAAAGATAAGATGTTCTGGATGGAAACCGGTTGATGCAGTGAGGCATCCGCTGAACAATTCCTGCTATTAGTGGAACACTGAACAGGGTAAAGTTTATTACTTTTATACCTTCGTACTCGTGTTGCTATGTCGAACGACAATTGGAAGTGAATGAATGAATGATTAAGTTGACATGCAGGTAAATGTTATTTGCCCTTTATATGTGTATATGTGTGTGTGATTTACGAGTGAAAAAGGTATTTCACATAATGACAGTTTCTATATTTACAGTGAAATAAGAGTAAAACCAACTAAACTTTCTATTTAATGGATCTTTCTAAGTTCGATAATGACATGTTTGAGTTCTAAAGTAAGTTATATAGAACTTAAAGTAAAATACTTATTTCTATAAGTATATTTACCAGTGTGTGCGCGGTAGATTTAGTTAATTTTAAGACCATTAATACACAAAGTGCACGCATCTGTCTCCAGATACACCTTTCTTGTTTTGAACTTATTCTTCTTTTGGAGAACATCGTATAAATTTTTCACGGACGCCAGTAAGGCTACGTAGCAACTATTATGCTGAATTCTGAATAGACTGAACTCTTTCATTTGAAGAAATAGGTTGACTGTTGCTCCTGAAAGCCGATAAAAGAAACGTATTGATTGATTAATCTAAAGTAATAGACCAGCTATTATGCAACAGACGACATATGACAATGATGGTGATGGTTTTAGAATGCAAGAGTAAGTAAGCCGCGACAGTACATGACCCTGTGCAAAGGGCAATAATAAGAAGGAGTAGCGTTCTAGCGTATAAAGGCAAGTAAGTCTTTATGGCTACGTCATTCCCAACAAAAGAACATTTTGTCGATGAGGTAGGAATGTAACTGGAGTAAAGTACACATATGATAATGTATATATAAATATAGAATATACTGGACAATAAAAACAAATGTGCATGACGAAATCGATAGAAGAGAAATCAGTCTTTTCCAGGAGAAATCGATTGTTGGAGAGAAATACAAGGATGGTGATTAATTGCAATTCAGATAACGTTAAAAACGTATCAAACGAATATGGGTGGAAATTTATGATGATGCTGGGAGTCTCTTCTGACTAGAGCGCAATGGGCATGAAAGATTCGCTAGTACATATACATATGTTGATTTTAGCAATAATTTGTCTAATACAATTATGATAACAATGAAAAGAGCAGTGACGTAATACTGTTATTAGTCGACTGGTTGACTGGTGGTGGGGTTTCTGGAAAAACTGACTTGATAGGAACCGGTATGACAATAAATAGATTGACCCTAAGATGTGTCTTTTTTTTATTATCATAGTTAAGCAGTATGGACAAACAGTTCGTCAAACAGTACCTCCGTTGTCTTCCTCCGCTGTCCAAAGCATCTTGTCAGATGTGGCCTCTGTATATCATGCAAAAGCAACGTCTACAATTTTTACTAAAAAGTGAAAGATACACGTTTCCTCTAACTAGCAGACAGTTAATTACAGTTAAATCGATTTTGGATTAATGATTTTTGTAAAGAGTACATAGACAAATACTGCTTTGATATAAGATTTTCTAAAAACACTTTTTCGGTAGTTAAACACATTATAATGAATTTTATGGTTTGTATATATGTATAAACATTTGATTTTACTTTTTAAAAAAATGCTTAAACAGATAAAAATGTAGAGTGAAACATTTGGTTCTTTCTGTGATTTTATTTAAAAGCAAAAAAAATGAGGATAACTGTAGTTGCATATAATTAATTCTAGAATTAATTCCTAAGATTCTTCGATAAAACAAAAAACATTACTTTCAAGATTTTTATATACCAATGTTTCGTACATACAATACAAAAACTATAGTTTTTTGTTATTGATATAATATATTATACTTTTAAATTTTCCTTTAAATGGTGCTAGCCAATCCTTATATAGTGGGTCATAGGTTTGTGCCAATCGGGTTTCAATACGCCCGAGTAATATATATATATATATATATATATATATATATACATGTAATTTTTTGGAAATGCCCTTTGCTAATCGAAAAAAATGGTCCTTGAGTCTGAACGACTTTTTTCTTTACATTCTTGATAAAATCTCCCATATCTTCCGATAATATCGGAAATGATGCTACATGGTTACACTTCGGTCAGGTAAGGTTCTTTTGCAGATCTAACACTTTGCACAAATTAAGTTTCGCCTTTGATTGCGCTTCAAGTAGCGCCAAATAGAAACTGTTGCTACTTGAAATTACGAAAAATGGCACTGATTTTTTACCTAAGTTCATTTCACAAAAATCCATGGCTAGTAATTACTGATTCAGTCCTGTTTACGAAGCTATGTCTGATTCGAAACAAATTTATTAACAACAGTAACACATTTCCAACTCTGTTTTCAGACCTTGATAAAAATTCATCTCGAAGAGCAAATTTTATGCCTCCCACCAGGCTGATGGATAGGATTAAGTTCGCATACGTTACCAGAAGATTAATTATGTAGTGAAATTTCTTTAAAACAATAAGTTATATAGGCAGGCTCAGACCCAGCTATTAAGACGACAGTACCGGCTATCTATTTAGATTCAACTGGTTTTGTCTCGAATTCTCGAGGCATTCGATAATATTAGCTTAGCACCAGGTCGTTCGATAGTTAGCGCTTATTGCCTGCTGTGTAGACTTGGGACTAATACCAGTAGCAAACGGAAGCTATGCTGGCAGCCCGGCGAGCCAGACGGGTCGCTTAAGCCCAAGCGACTTTCCCTCGACACCAGCGCCGTCTTGCTACTCTTGCAAATGGGCGAACCTGCGGGTGCCGATTTTCCTGCGGTACGAACGATGTATATTGGTGAACCTATTCACATCCGGCTCGGATTTTAAAGGTGCCCGAGGTAACACCACGAACGCGGTCGTGACGGAGCGAAGGAGTAGAAGGCGCAACTATGGCGGAACCCGGCGAAGGGTCATCCGAGCAAGATGACATTTCCTTCCTTCGGACGGTATGTTGCATTACATTACTTTATATTACAATTATCATTGCATTGTCGCACGTACATGTACCGCGCATTTTACTATCTGTATGGAGTACCAGGCTAAGCGTACCTACCAGTCGGTAGCGATTACGTTGCAGAAAGGTCCTCTCCCGGCCTAATGCGGCCACCAACTAGTCGTGGCAAGCTTTGCGCGAGCTTCTTCTACGATGTCGGTGTCCATCTAATTTTACTTGCTCGTTCTACTGCTACTGCAGTGATTCGTAGCCTATCGGCTTGTTTGCTGACAAGACGCTGCACCGCGCCTGACTAAGGCTGATCTCGGTTAGCATCCATCTGAACGTGGTGTGCGCTCATGTGAGCAAATAGTGTGTAAAGTCGTAAGTGTAGTCGGAGTACGTACTAATCGTGGCTTTATGAGAAGTAAGTGGCCTGCGGCGGCGGTGGTGGTGTCGCGGTACGTCTAATATTCCCGGAGCAGCACGTCCTTTCTGATGAGAGAGATCACTACTCATTCCCCGGCGCAAGCTGAACGGGTTCGTCTGGCAAGAGTTCACGAGATCAACTAGCAGCTGGACGCAACCAGTTAGGCAAACTGGGTAACCCTCAACACGGTGGTCAGACCACGCCAGACCAACAGCTGCCGCTAGAATAACAAACAAAAGAAAGCTGCCATTCTGAAGATTTCTGACCTCTATCGCCAGCGCGTTGAGGTGGAGACGCTGAACAGGCACCGTCAACATGGCAGAAGGCTCTGAGGGGGCCTCCTCGGAGCAGGATGATCTCTCTTTTCTTAGAACGGTATGGCTGCAAACACACAAAATTGAAAATTTCGTGGGGGTCCGGTAAATTTTCATTTCCTTAAAGAAAAAAAAACTGAAAAAAAAATGAAAGGGCGACTGATTCTTAAAATGACTAGTATCTTTAGGTGTAGAACAGAGCGGATTGTGTTGAATTTATTGCTTACAGTACTTGTCGTTACGAAAGGATGCGATAAAATACGACGTAATCAAGGATATCAGTCAACTGTTCATAGTGTCCTCGAGTACGGATCATATTGTGTATTGCGGTATTGTGTTGGTGAGATATCAGTCAGTGAAAAGTGTAATGGAGCGAGCTGTTGTGCTAAAAAGGAACGGTTGTATGTGTATTTCAGGATGACATGGTATGCCTGCAGTGTACGGCCACGGGAACAAGAGTGTGCCTTGCTGCCGAGGGTAAGTTTCCTTTTTTTGAACCTATATTTATACATTAATAAGATATTCACGACAAGTGAAAAAGTCATGAGGCTTTCAGTGGCTGTACAGAAAATTTGAATACGTTTAGCGCTGCAAATCTACTTTTATTTTCAGGTTTGATCAGTTTATTTAGCGATGTAGAACAAAAATTGCTGGCGACTAAAATAAAAACAAAATGGCGACAGCATGGTGGTGAAAAGTATTGAAACCGGTGTAAGCATTGTAGAAAATTCACGTTCAAGATGGCTGATAGGTACAATTTTAGTTGTAAAACTATAAACCTGTACATAGTGAGGACTGTGGCTAATAACAGATGGGGTGATCCTGAACTCAAGGCTTCATGGCTTCTTGACGAATTCATGAGGATACTTGATTTATGATAAATAGTAATTCGTACTATTTAACAGCAATACGGCCTGAACGTAAACAGTCCTCTCTTTCCTGCCAACACAGGTTCAAACGCATTATTACAATGTGATTTATTTATGTTGACCACAAAATGGCACAACTGAGTTAACGTCATTAAAAAAAAAACGTAATGTTGCAATTTGTGGGCAAGCCCGATTGGTCTCGGATCACAGGACCCTGTCAGAGATATGCACACTGCGAGATGAAGCAGATATTAGAAATCAAACTAGTTAGCTAAATATGGCCAATGTAATCATTGCGTCTACTTAAACTAAGCTCTTCTACAAACTGTTGAATAACGACGCGTAGTTAAAAAAGGAATAGTAGCGTGCGACTTACGTAGAGATGCTTATGATACAAAATCATTTTTATGAAGTTTATCGCGTCTACTTAGAGAACCTTAAGGAAGTGTACCATATATAATGACAATTACTACCAGCGCTAATTACGGGTCGATCGTTGCCCTTATCGCACCATTTGCGTGAATGTCCGCGTCGAAGATAGTATCTGTTACACTGTGTTTCATATTTGAGATAATGGAAACTTGAAGCAAAATTTAATGTGATATTTGCAGACCTTCAGTGTATTCACGTTTTTACTCGTCAAACATAGAAAAATTTATTTTGGCCAATAGGGAACAACCTTAGACAACTTTGACCCTAACGCTATTCATCTATCTATAAATAATCCTATAAATCTTACATATGTGTAGACTGCAGGCCAGGATTATCAACAAAGACATGGTAAATAATGCTCTCATTGGCGCGGTTTGGGCAGAAACAATCGTTTATGCGGTTCATGTCAACCTTCGCTTTAGCGTAACTATTGCCCGTGTAGAGCTACTGTACAAAGCTTCGGATGTAAAACTTGTTACAGGCTCAGCTAAATAAACTCGATAGAGACGGTAAAGCAAATGCAAGCCGAACTTCGCGCATACTACCGTTACCTAAGGGTCCGCTTCTTTTGTTTCGGAATAGAATGTCGAGAAAACTATTCCAGCTGTGCCATCGAGAGTCCACAAGGCCACAAAGACGGTTTGCGCTGACATCATTGCCAAGCAACAGAACGTTCCTTTCCGGCCTCTTTAAATCTTTCTTGACTATCTCAGTCGTTAAGGCAAGAAAAACACCGGTGGCCCAGGCAAATACGAAATAAACCCTGGCTTGGTCTTCTTAGTGATTGTCTGAGGTACGACTTTTGAGCTGGCTCACGCGGCGAGGGCCAGCGACGACCGATTCGCGACACCATTGGTGTAGCGTAGCGTATATACATAGTAAGCTAGCTAGTCAGCAATGAAGCTTGAAAACAGTCATTGTTGAAGCCACAAACAGGTTGGCAGCGGTAGAACACTGTTCCTATTTACTTTGACCCAACATCACCGTGGGGTATGGGACAGCGTAAGGTAAGCGTCGGGAGCTACATGTACAAAGACGTTTGTGTGACCATTCGCGTCCGAATGGTCGTGCTTGAGGCGACGGCTTAGTAACACATTCAGCAACAAGGACTTACACTATTGCTGCCTAAATCGCAGTGACGACAATGGCAACAACAGCAACAACAACTTTAAATAGAGCAGGCAACGATTCGCGCACTGTTAGACGGGCCACTATTTCCGTCTATTACCTAGGCGAGTTGGACTAATGCTTGTATATATTCTTCTATGATGTATTCTGTGGCACTATGCATGTGGCTTTGGTGATGCCAGCCACACGAAGACAGGCAGAACTAGACTATGCTACTTCTTGGCGCGGAATATTCTATCAGGAGCTTCTCATTCAATAGCTTTCAACAGAGAAGTGCGCTGTTTATAATCAGTCCCCTGCTATGTATTATAGATATTGCGCAGATACGTTTGTTGTCCTAGCTTTTACTTAATAACCATAAGGGACCTATATTGTCTAGACAAATTTCAACAGTAAATTTTAATAATGGAAAGGTTTTTGCGCCGAGGGCCCGCGACCGTGTACACATATATGATGCTTCAGACGTACAGAATCATGATGAAAAATTGACTCGATCAAATCTGTATCCCTAGAAAGTATTATAAATTTAATTAAAATCAACTGACTGCGCTTGAAACCGATAAACTCTAAAATTCAATGTTTTCATTGCCAATAATAATTTCCTGTAAGATGGCTTTGCAGCAACGAACCCCGAAAGATGTTTGGAAGGGACTTCATTGGTTCAACCTTTATGTACCAGTAGTACCAACCGGTAGGTCTAAGCCGTCGTACCTAATGCTTGACAACTTTGCTTTCGTGGTGCGACTCGTTCATCATAAAGCGATATTAACAAATATCATTATCCTTTCTGAAAAATACTAAAAATAAGTACACTCTTAACAAAATGAATGGCTTTATGACCTGAGAAAAGGCGACACTCGAGTGCCACGCTACGACAAACAGATGATTCCCATTCTTTTCGAATTCTACATTCTATATATTACCTTTTAAATCAATTATTATACTCAGAGCCTTAACTCCAGGTCAGAAACGTTTATTCTGACTAGTGCAGGCACATTCTATGTTTATATTGTCCTTTAGAAATAAGCTGACATTTCTCATAATAGTTAACTAACTTCAGAGACATTGGTAAGACAACGAGTACACATCGAGGCTTAAGTTGGTTAAGATAATCTCCACTTCTCAATAAGCACAATATGTCCATTGCTACCATCGAGTGAAGGATATCGAAGGGTTTCAATTAAATTTTTGGTGAATAATAAGACCGAATTGTATAGTGAGACAAAGTTTACAACAGCATCAGTTAGAAAACTTTGCCATCATACTATTCTGTCTAAGGAGTCGTTTTGGCGCTTCAAGTCGTATAGTGATTTACAAAATACCTATGAATTTTTCAAATCTGTTTTCTTTTCTATTTTTTGCAGACGAATATACGTCCATGCTTTTTATAGCGATAAAAACATTCTAGATCAGATTGTTTTGGACTAGTTCTAACAGTGTAAGAGGGTATGCGTTAGTAGGGCAGTTTTACCTAAGCACTCAACATAGATCCTGTTGAAAAATTATCAGTAATTTAAACTAACTGTTTACGGAAGAATAGTGGGCATTATAGAACAGTAAAAACGCAACTAGATATTACTGTTTTCACAGATATAGATGTTGGGTATCGATACAGCTTGGGGCCTGGGTACACCGAGTACCTCAGGATGAGTAAACATATACTTTATTGTCTGCAATTGGAAGGGTTCTCAGTGTTTTTCTAAATGCTTTTAAATTGAATGATTTTTCCTTGAACACCAGTTTTCGATCTTCTTAAAGCAAATGAAAAAGCATCCGAACGTAAACAATAATGAACTCGAAATAGCAGGCGCGGGAAGGCCAATTCTCTTGATTGAAACACTATATTTATGCCTCTAGAGGGTATTCGTTAAGCAGTACAACACTAACAGGCTTGAACTTTACGGCACGTTCAAACTCACAATTTCTGCGATGCTATGACTGAAGGCAGATGAATCTCGGCGCGCGATTGAATATAGATTTTACATTAGGCTATTGTATGTTGATCTACCTGGTAATCTTACGGTAACCTCAGTGCAGTCCTACGTTAAGGATTATTATTCACTTTAATGCAATGATGGCTTACGGTCGAAAAAGACCTCTCCAGTTTACAAAGCAACGAGATTTTTCTCTGACTTACGCTCATTAGAACGCAATAGAGGCTCAAGGAAGCATGTTTCGGATTCTGTCTGCCTGCCAATTAAAGTACCTGCAGCTAGATGTCTGCTTGAGTGTAAATGTAGACCACCCGAATTTCCTTGATTGTAAGCAACTGGTTTCCAGCGTTGCGGCGTTGAATTATAGCTAGTTTGATCCCAGGCAAAAGTATGCTATCTCTCACGTAACGATGAGTACACACTTCGAGCTAGATGGACTTACGAAAAGATTAGTATCACAGTGAACAGTCCTAGTCAATCTGTGTCTATATGACAACGTATGACTATTTGGTAATCTTAAAAACAATATTAATATAGGTGACAACATGCCACAAACTCATATTCCTCACCGCAATCTTTGCTCTGTATTTTGTGTCGCTACCGAGCACCTGTTAAACGAATTGTCCGCAAATAATAAGTAAAATCTTTATCACGCAAGCCAAATAAAAGTATAGTATATGTAAAAAGATTTGGCAGCCAATAGTGTTAATAAAAGAAAACTGACAAGAATTTCTGGAACACGTCTGGATAAAACCGCTGAATAGGAACTATCATTATTGGGGCCGGTTTATTCGGATGGATGATATTTGTGTCGGATATAATGCTCAATTATACGTGTGCCAAAAATGTCGTCCCAACTCCAACTTCTCTAGCTGGCATTAGGACGACAACGTAGCGCTCCTCGTACTAAAAAAGAAAAAGAAGTTTTCTTATAATATACCTCTATGCTGCACCTTTCATTTCATCGCCTTTCACATCTGTGATATCATTAACTAAGAAAGTCTAGCGGAATAAGGCACAAAATCAGGCCACATACGTATAATCCAGGACAGTTAGACTCTTCTCCTTATAAAACGTCTATATTGTTACCAAATGTCTACATATAGTTGAGATG